TTTTAGTAGAGACGGGGTTTCACCATGTTGACCAGGATGGTCTCGATTTCTTGACCTCGTGATCCACCCACCTCGGCCTCCCAAAGTGCTGGGATTACAGGCGTGAGCTACCGCGCCCGGCTCTGATTTCAGTCTTAACAGTTTTCTTTATACTCAAATCTCTCCCTAGAGTTAATTTCACTACTATATTGGTGAATCCAGATTTACCAAACCAAACTACCACTTCCATGTTTTAAGTAGCCAATGGGTCACATTTCATTTTGCAAATGTGAGTCCTACCTTTATATCAGGGGTCCCCAGCCCCTGGGCCATGGACTGGTAACAGTCTATGGCCTGTTAGGAATAGGACCACACAGCAGGAGGTGAGCAGCAGGCAAGAGAGGGAAGCTTCATCTGTATTTACAGCCATTCCCCAACACTCACATTACCTCCTGAGCGCCACCTCCCGTCAGATCAGCAAGGGCATTAGAGTCTCACAGGAGCACGAACCCCATTGTGAACTGTGCATGCCATGGATCTAGGTTGCCTGCTCCTTACGAGAATCTACTGCCGGAATATCTGTCTCACCCCCAGATGAGACCAGCTAGTTACTGGAACACAAGCTCAGGGCTCCCACTAATTCTACATTGCAGTGAGTTTATAATTATTTTATTACACATTACAATGTAATAAAAATAGAAATAAATGTAATGCACTTTAATCATCCCAAAACCATCCTCTCCACACTGGTTCATGGAAAAACTGTCTTCCATGAAACCTGGTGCCAAAAAGAATGGGGACTGCTGTTTTACATCATTAACACTAGAATTTCCATCAAAAATCACAGAACAAAGGAGACATTCAGCCTACTGTCACCACTTCAATTAGGAAATTTCCCCATTTGACCCTTCCCAAGTCATAGGGAGAAGAAAAGTCTTTAAAACAGTAAACCTTTAACTATTAATTAAATACTACTTAATAGCTGTAGCTAAAGAGTTGGCCAAAGAAGTAATTTTCTCCAACATGACCCTTATATACCAGCCAGAGTCTCAGCATTCAATATTAGAGTAGTCACAATATGAAGATAACCAGCTGTTTCCTTGTCTGCTCCGTTATGGCTCCATTCCCTCCAGGGTTCAAGCAGCTAGGACTGGCCACAGTGCTTCACCACCCCAATGGGAACGGCACAGATGGAAGGCAGCAAAACATTGGCCATTCTTCCTTCCCTTGGAATGTTAGGCTTGCCCTCCTAGTCTGAACGTTTCATGTCTCCCCCAACTGAAGTGACTCTACTCGCCCTGTTTCTGAGATGTGGGCATTTCATCTCTTCCTGAGAAACCTCTGGGGCTTCATTTCTTTTCTTTTCTAGAAGTTGCAGGGCTAGTGTCCAGAAAGTTTATAACTTAGCATGCAGAGGCCAAAAGATTTTAGAGGACTTGAATCATAATCGTTTCATCTCTAGTCTCTAATTACATACAGCATTAGCAAAGTGAAAAACTGTTTCAGGCAGTTTTAAAGAGAGAGATGAATCTTCCTGAATTCCTAGACTGATGCTAATCACAGTGGGTCTGATTTTTCCACCTCTGGCACTGGGCTGAAGAGAAGTTCAGAAAATGAGATTCTTCCCTAGAGGGAATAGCTTGGGAAATTCAAAAGCTGCCAGAAGAGGAAGTTTTTAATCACTTTTTAAATGATACATGTAATTACACTATGTTTTCTTTTAAATGATAATTTCATGGGGTTTATGGAAATGAGATATGAGCCCAGATACTGATTCTGCCAAAAACAACCACAACAAAAATTTAACTTAAAAAAATGACTTAGATGGTTTCAATCATCATTTCAATTTCTTTAGTAGGTCATCATCATCACTTGAAATCATTCATTATTAGGTGGTTGTTGAAGATCCTTGTTCTTACCAATGCAAGAAATAAAAATAACTATTCTTGCCCTGGTGGCATTTATATTAACAATTTATTAGATTTGACAACATAGCAATTTCAATAAATGCCAACAATTAAAGTTTAAAATGTCCATCAATGGCACAAAAAACATGAGCAACAGAAGAAGAAAGAGTGTAAAGGAGATGATCTGTAATGTCTAGATCTTGGAGTTGAGATTGGGCTTGTTTTAGGGCAAAGAAGAAAAAAAAGAGGTCATGTAAATTTGTTCATTAATTTATTTAGTATTTCTATGTTAGGCCTTGAAGATTAAATGATGAACAAGATTAACACAGTTCTTAATAGAAACTGGGAGACAGATAATAAACAAATTATTACATAAGTACTGACAGACTGGCATCTTTCTCAAGTGGGTTGAATGGCAAACGTGTTCAACACAGGTTGTGAAGACAGGGTGGAAGAAGACAAAGACCTTACCTTGTGGAAACAGCCTTAGATACCTTTGTCCTAGTAGTTTCAGATGAAAGTGCTACCTGGGTTTTTAGTTCTTTATTCTAAAATTGAAAAAAATGCAGAGATCAAATCGCTAACATATTTATGACCTACCCCCTCAATGCTTCTATTCAACCCAACGCCTGCTTCACTCCTTGGCAGTAAGTTTGTTATTGCAATTATACTATAGAACAAAGACAATAGCCAGTTGAAAGTCCCTAAATATTATCTCGGAAGATGCAGATACTCCCTGAAAAATGCGTACTTTACCAAGGGACTAAAATATAGTATTCTGATTTAGCATCTGAAATTCAACAGCTGAAGTATCTATATTTTATTTTACAGAGTTTTAAAAATATAGACAAATGAGAAGAACTTTTAAAGAACCTTGTTAAAGATACCCACAATATCGATCACATGTTCATCTTTCTTTTGAGATCTCTTGATTATAAACCCCGTGAAAATAGGTCCCATCTGCTCTTTACTATTAATATAAGTTCATGGCCTCTATAGCCTCCATTTTCTTATGAAGCCTTAGTTTCTTCATATCTATACTAGTGGTAAATAATACATGTTTGCCCACCTTGTGTAAGTTGTTGGAAGAAACAACATATGAACATACTATTTTATATCTGGAAGCACTCTCGTAATTCTGGGAGTTCATGCAACAGCTAAGAAAAGGAATGGTTAGGGTGCAAGTTCTCAGGTACAAATCCTGGCCCGGCCACTTACTGATTATGTGACCTCATTTAGGATACTTAACCTCTCTGTGCCTAATTTCCCAATCTGTATTGCAGATATAATAACGCCTTCTTCACAGATTCAAAATGAGATAAAAAAATATGTCAAGTGCTCAGCTAGTGCCTGGCACAGATTTTAAGACTTAAAAGGAGTTGGTTATGATTTTCTAGTCCAAGTGCCTTTTTTTTTTTTTTTTTTTTTTTTTTTTTTGAGACAATGTCTGGCTCCGTCGTCCAGGCTGGAGTGCAGTGGCACAATCTCGGCTCACTTCAACTTCCAACTCTTGGGCTGAAACCATCAGGCTGTCACTCAGCCTCCCCAGTAGCTGGGACCACAAGTGTATGCCACCATGCCTAACTAATTTTTATATTTTTGGTAGAGACAGGGTTTCACCATGTTGCTCAGGCTGGTCTTAAACTCCTGGTCTCGAGCGATCTGCCTGCCTCAGCCTCCCGAAGTGCTGGGATTGCAGGTGTGAGCCACTGTGCTCAGCCCCAAGTACCATTTTTATAACTATAAATTGAATTCCAAAGACTTCCAGTGCCCCGCACCCTATTCACGGCAGAGTTCAATGCCAGGCTGTGTACTCCCCTCCAGAGCCAGTGCTTTCCCTACAACACAGCCAAGCGAGCAATTTTACTTCCCAGAGCTGGAAAGTGAGACTTAAAACTGTGAAGGATCATGACCAGTGCTGAATTGCCCGTGAGTTGCACTGGCAGGCCAGGGGTCTTTAAAGGACACACCCACATTAAAGTGTCTGGGACCAAAAGGCAGCTGGGTGGAACAATGACAGGTGATGAACAGGGACACCGGCTCCCTTCCCTTTCAAGGAAAACAGGCTTAGAGCGTCATGTAATTATAGTTTAAAAGGTATTTTCTTTCTTTCCTGTTTTTTCTTTTTTTGAGACAAGGTCTCACCCTGTCCCCTAGGCTGGAATGCCGTGGTGTGATCTCAGTGTTACAGGGTGTCTTTTATCTGGCTGGAAGTCTTTGTGGCCGGTGGCACCTTTGCCAGAGTTTTGCTTGGGTCTGCTGGGCTCATTTTATTCACTGAGCCTGGCAGGCTGCATGCTACTGGCCTAGGCCTCATGCCTGCCAAAGGCAAGTCAGATTTGGAATGGCGAGGGTTGTGTGACCAAGCATGGGGTCTACTACTGTGCACAGTCAAACATGCCGGCTGCTACATTGGGGTGTGCAGCTCCAGGTACTGGCATGGGTGCTGAGGCTGCAGCCGTACCAGGCGCATCACAAGCAGTTTCCACAGCTGGCACCAGGGAACACAGTGGCACCTGGAAGCTTGGAGATGCCAGGAACCGCAATGCCCCAAAGAGAGAGTCACAGCCCTAGCTCAGGGAGCTCCCAGGTCTGGGACCCCCAAAGGGCCACAGCTCTTTCCTTCTCTTTGCCTGCAACATGCGGAGCAAAGGGCATGTCTCAGCCCTGTTTGTATTACAGCTCTTTTAACCCGGGCATCCACTGGGTCCTGAGTTCTTGTCCTGCAACCAGGAAGAATGAAGTACACAGACAAGTGGAGGTCAAGCAAGATGAAGAGGAGCTTTGCTGAACAATAGAACAGCTCAGAGGAAACCTGCAGTGGGCAGCTCCTTTCCGCACCCAGGAGCTGTGTCCTAACGAACGTCCAGCTCCTTGCAGAGAAGGTAGCTCCTCTCTGCTAGGCAAGTAATCCCAACAAGTGTTCAGCTATCAACAGAGAGGGTAGCTCCTCTCTACAGCTGGCTATCCCATCATCTGTGCAGCTCTCAGCAGAGAGGAAGCCTTAGAGTGGGTGCCTCCTCTCTGCAGGCAGGGGGTAAACCTGGGGTTTTTATGGCCTCAAAAGGGAGGAATTGTGTGCTGATTGGTCCATGGGCGGCCATGGGTGGGCCCAGAAAAGGCAACACAAGTTCCCACTCCAGTCCACAGGGACTGGCAGCCCAGCCCTGAGCCTTTAGGACCTCCCTGGCTTAAAGGTGGGAACTCACTGGGGAACTGCCCCTTCTGACCAGGAGCCTGTCTGCCTTCTGCTGTGGTTCATCACGCCCAGGCTGTTTGTGCCAAGGGGAACCTTCAGGGCAGTGCCAAGCTGCCCTCAGCACCCCCTTGGCTTCCCTCCCATGCCTGTTGGTGCCCAAAGTCTAGAGGGAGTTGAGGCAGAAAGAAGCTGGCATGTCAGCACTATTCCGACCATGCACATACCCAGCTGGACTGTGACAGTGACCAGGCTTGGACCCAATTTTGCTCTGAGACTGGAGAGGGTGCCAACAGCAGGGGGAAGCCAAGCAGTGGGCGCAGGCACTTCCGAGCCTGCAAGGGTGGGGTGGAGGCCTTCCCAGTCCCCTAAGAGTACAGGGATTCCTGAATCTGCATTCACAGTTCAGTCAGGTGGAGCTGTGCCCAGTGGGGGTGGGGCTCTTGTGGGCTCCATGGAGCATGCAGCCCTGACCATGCCTCCCTGCTGCAGCCAGTAAGAGGGCAGTGGCCCCTCCAGATGGCCCACCACAGATATCAATGGCTCACTGCAACCTCCACCTCCACCTCCTGGGTTCAAGTGATTCTCTTGCCTCAGCCTTCTGAGTAGCTAGGTTTACAAGCATGTGCCCCTCACACCCAGCCAATGTTTGTATTTTT